GAGGCTGGGGCACCAGAGCTCTCTGATGAAGAAGGCTAAATATCTCATGAAACTACAAATACCAGAATTCTGTATCATTGGGCCATGGCAGCTAAAGCAATGTCAAACTGCACTGGTTCTGCATTGTAGATCCAGTGCTAGTTTCATGTCTCATTGAGGACTAGAACCTGGATATCTCAAGTCCTATTTTATTACACCACACTGCTTCAACAAATACCTAAGATACCACTAAGATGTCTCGCCTCCTAACAGGAGGAGCATTTTGTTAAGGGGAAAAATTAGAGTTGTCACATAGAAAGTGGAAGGAGGCTGCAGACATTGCAATCAAGATCTCATAGGTACTGACACCATTTCAACTTATTTTCTTTTTTATTTATTTATTAATACATTTATATTCTGTCCTGTATCCCAGGATCTCAGGGTAGTGTACATCATTTTTAACTGCTTAGAATTATTTGAAACAGTAAGAGTAATTTAAATACACTAAAGACAAGATTAAGCAAAACAGTTTAAAATTTATACCTGGAATCCTCCCAAGAGTTGCTGCGAAGGAGAAACAAACAATAGCTCATCTATATTTTGAGAGCTTTGAGTTGGCCTGATAATAATAAAGCTATTACAGATCTAGACAAGATCCTCAAGTGTAAAGATATTATTATTGAATACCAAAGTCAGGATTGTCCATGCCACTGTATTTCCATTTTCTATCTATTTGCAATGTAATGCCAGAAGAGAGTTCTGAAATACCCTGGACTGCCAAAAAAACAAATAAAAGGGTCATAGAGCAGATCAGGCCTGAGCTCTCCTTGGAAGTCAAGATGATTAAACTGAGACTGTTGTACTTTGGACATATAAAGAAAAGACGAGACTCATTAGAAAAGACAATAATGCTTGGCAATGTAGAAGACAGTATGAATAAAGTAAGACCAAATTGCAGATGGGTAGACTCAGTTGAGGAAGCCACAGTCCTGAGTTTGCAAGACCTGAGTGAAACTGTTGATGACAGAATGACTTGGCGGTCTCTCACCATACGTCAAAGTCAACTTGATGGCAGTTAACAACAAATAAAGATGTTGAAGACATCTGCTAAAAAAAAAAGTTTTAGTATTTTTCTTTAGGGATTTTACCAATGTTTCCTCTCATTTATCCTTGGTGTACTTGATTCTGTTGACTTATTTTGTTTCATCCTATAGGAAACTGATACAACCCCACCAGTCTACAACCTGGTACAGCTCAAGATGCCATGTGCAGAAGATAGCCAGCACCAACCTGATTGCTCTCGGCTCATTTGGCGCATTACATTTTTTGCTAAGGATGACCACAGTGATGTCAGTGTTAAAGTCAGCCCAAATCCATCTGGTGTGTCTTGCCATCCATCGGGGACTGATGGTGACAAGGATATCATCTGTGACTATAAGTTCGTATCTCTTTACTCTTTAAGATTCAATACCACTACAAATTGACAGTAAGGTATCAATAGCTGGAACAGACTCCTGCAAAGACATATTACAATAAGCCATGGTGTGGTTTGTTTTTCCTAAGATTAATTTATCAAGTTTTCTTGGCAGGATTTTTTCAGAAGAAGTTTGCCATTGACTTCCCCTGAGTCTGAGAACATGTGACTTGTCCATGGTCACCCAGTGGGTTTCTTGGCTGAGCTGGGAAGTGAACCCTGGTCTTCAGAGTCATAGTCCAGCACTCAAACCACAATATCATCTTATTTATTGTGATATGCACATTTCCCTCTTCTAACAAACCATGGTTTATTAACCAACCACAAATCACCATCTAAGTCCATGGCTTGTTGTCGGCTTTCATATTCAGAGTTCTTTAAGCCATAGCATCTTCTCACATCTACTCCCACAATCATGGCTTACTCTTGCCAGTGGCATCCCTAGGGTTGGTGTCACCTGGTGCGGTCACTGACCAGATGGTGAGACTTATGGGGGACGGGACTTCCAATGTGCAACTTCTGGCACACTTCCGGTGCATGCAGGAGCATGAGTGTGTGGCCAGAGAAGCCCTGTGCGCCCCAGGGAAAGGCTGGGGAGGACCAGAGAAGCCTCATGCACCCTGGGGAAAGGCCAAGGAGGGCTGGAGAAGCCCCACGTGCCCCAGGGAAAGGCTGGGGAGGATCAGAGAAGCCCCGTGCACCCCAGGGAAAGGCCGAGGAGGGCTGGAGAAGCCCCGCATGCTCCCAGGGAGCAGGTCTGTGTC